AGTAATTGTAAGAACGAATGTAAACTTCCCAGTTGTCAGATTGTTGGTCACTTCCTGCATGTTTTCCTACCAAAATTGGAAGAAAAAAAACTATCAGCATAAGCTGACTTTAAGTAAGCACATGTGCAAAATGCCTGTTTTTAAGTGGATTTGGTTTAGTTTGAGTGGGGGATGGTGCTCTTGGGTTTTTTTGTTTTTAAAGGTAAAAAGCTAGACATTTTTTCCCCTTCTCACCTGCCACAAATGTATGTATTTGAATTGTAGTCATTAAATGTGTTGCAATGATTGTCCTGAAATAAAGACTTATTACTTTAATGAAACAAAGATATAGGATAAGGAGAAAAATCTTGCATGAACAAATCATTGGGTCAAAGACAGGAGACAGAAGGTAGAAGTAAAGACGCAGGTTTGATTCATCCTGTCATTTTGTGAAATAAAAAATTACTGGGTCCCGGAGGGATCGGGAATAGTTCAACATAATGTGAATTATCTGGACAGGAGACAGTGTGCTGACAGCTTACTGACATTCATTAATTCAGGATATTAAAGATGAAGGCTGATGAGGAAGAACTGAGGATTTTAATAGACTTAAGAGCAGGCAAAGTAATTCCATGTGGATAAAGGTGAAATGATGCATGTAAGGAAAACCAAACTTTTATAATATAAAATTATAATCACTGGGCTGGGCTTACTCAAGGTAAAACCTTGGAGCTCTAAGAAGAGGTTGAATGAAAATGTCGGTTGCTTAGCAGTCAGAACAGGAGAGTGAGTGTTAGGAGGAAGGAAAGGAATAAATAATAAAAAGAATCATTGTTAATACCTTTGTATGAATTCTTGGTGTATCCACATGCATATATTGTTACTTCAGTCTCCCTTATCTCAAAAGGGATATAGCCAGATTAAAATGTTCCAGACAATGGTTAAAAAGATGATCAGAGATCTTCAGTAGTTTTTAGCTTCTTCAGGAAGAATCTTAGAAACTAAATAGGTTGACATTCCTCAGGAGGACAGACAATTGGGCAAAGATGACATACTTTCTTCACGTTGATCATGGTCTTAGAGGGATTTATTTGCTTTCTTTTCCAATACATAAACTAAGGTTCAGTTGATAACCCCCAACAGGTGACAGGTTGAAAATATAAAGAGGTGGTGGTTCTTGTGTGCAGTGAAACGTTTTGGAACTCCAAAAAGCATCATGAGATGCTAAAAGATGTTACTAAGAGTACAGGAATGGAGGTCACTGAAAAGAAATGCATTAAGTGTAGTTGAATGCAGAGATAATGCCTCTGGTTTGTGACATAACTGAACAGAAGCTGAATAGAGAGTATTCTAGGCAAGTGTCACTTACAGTTGCCTTGTTTTTATGTTCTTTCCTGGTTTATCACCCATAGCCTCTCTCCTAGCAATGACACAGATAGATGGACCTTTGGTATGATTCAGCAAATCTCCTTTTACAAAGCTACGTCAGTGTTGTCTTGCTGGGACAGTTATTGGGACGTTTAAGTTCTCACCCAGTCATTTTAGGGTTGGTCTTCCTTGTCATTGCTACCAGCAAGGATGCCAGGTGGATAAAAAGAATGCCTATAATGGGAATGCCGTTTTGAGAGTTGTTTATCACCTACTCATATGCTTATACAAGAGTCTACAGTTGAAACTTAATATTATTTCTAGCAGAATTGTATCATTCAGACTTTACTGGAATCTAAATAAGCATGCTCTTCTATATTGTGTTTAATGGGAATGCTATTTTTAGAAGAAACAATGCTTCACAGGAAATTAACTGTTTGTTTTGCTTTTAGGTAAAATGATCCATTCTATGGTGGCTCACTTGGATGCTGTCACAAGTCTAGCTGTAGATCCTAATGGAATCTATTTAATGTCTGGAAGTAAGGTTTTTTTCATATTCTGTATGCTCTATAAATTTTGCAGTTATGGTGCACTGAAGTGTCTGACAAATCTAACTTTGTCTTTTGTCTTTTTTTTTTCATAAACAGGCCATGATTGTTCCATTAGGTTATGGAATTTGGACAGCAAGACATGTGTGCAAGAAATAACAGCTCATAGGAAAAAGCTGGATGAATCAATTTATGATGTAGCATTTCATCCGTCAAAAGCATATATTGCCAGTGCAGGAGCTGATGCCCTTGCCAAAGTGTTTGTGTGACATAATAGAACAAACCTGCGTCATAACAGCAGGTCTGTTTGGACAAAAAAGAGGGAATGCGTCACTGCCATCAATGATAAGGTTACCAATAAGACACTACATCTGAACTGCCTGGGTGAAGGCTCTTATGTGGGGCAGGTGTAAGTTGGTGAAAAGTCACCACATCTTGAACAATGTCAGGCTCATTCATTTAACTGTAATTACTGTATTTGGGGGGGTGGGAAGAACTACAAAAAAAGAAAACCAGTATTTGTAGCCTTGACTGGATATGAACTGAGCGTATGTCTGTTCTTTAGGTGTCTTTAAGCAAACGTGGAGTCTGATCTTACAAAAGACTTTTATTTTGGACTCTGTGTGCTGCCTTAGGGTTAGGAATGTGGTGCTCTTGTGGGGGGAAGTGAGCTCCAAGAGTAGCTTTCTTTTCATCTCTTAGTAATCTTCTGTTTATCAGTTGAATGCCACAGATTCCCCTTTTAAACTTTTATTTTGCTTTAAAGAAAAGGAAATTTAACTTAAAATATTTTAGCATTAGTTGCACAAAATGTTTGGATAAAATTCTAGTTTTTATAAGTCTTTTTATATATTTAGCCTGTCACAACAGTGCTCAAGATTGTATTGATAATGTTTTTCTGCATTATAGAACCCTAAAACACAGAGATCTCACTGACCCGCTGCCGTGTAACCACACTCTTCCCTTCTTTTGCCTAATACAGCTCAGCTAAGTCCTTGCATAAGGATGCTAATTCATCATCATCGCATAACTGTCTTCATAAATAAAGGACTGTAAAATGTGTTCAAGTGAAACACAGAGGGGTTAACACCCCCGAATGAACTCTTTAAAAAAAAAAAAAAAAATTTAATCTTGGCATCCTATCACTATGTGATATTTTGTACATCTTACTGTATTTACGAGTTTATTTATCAAGGATTACCCATCTTGCTAATGGCCTATTGTTATTTATTTCACTTTTTGTTGGTCTTTATATCCTTTTATGTAGTGTGTTAAAGGGCCCTGTATATCTATTATGGCACTCTTTGAACAGTCTAAAATAGAGGAGAAAATGGGACATTTGATAATTCTAAAGTTGCAAACCAAGAAATTATTTTTCCTCTGCTTAAGTACCTGGAGTGGAGTTGGTTCCAAAAAACAATCTTGTTTCAGAACTTTTGGAGTGAAAATTATTTTTATTTGCATTTCAAATAGAATACAAAAGTAGTTGATTCAAGATTCATAAATCTGCTGTGTTTTGACTAGTTACTCCCTGCTTTTATTTTATTTTCAGATGTGCTTCAGTTTATGGTGTAACTAAAGATTTTGTTTGTGTAATGCATGATTAATACAATAAAGTATTTTTTCTAGTCTTCCACAAAACTTTTCTGATCAGTTTGCGAGTTTTGATGAGTTTTGTAAGGTTTCTGTTTTACAAACTATGAATCAGCAAATTTTTAAGATTGTACCACATAGCAAAAGTACAGCTGTTGAAAAATAATGTATATAAAATGCATATAATAAATATTAAATGGTGTACCTGTATGTTACTGTTGGCTACATTATTTTGTGTTGCACAGTTTGAAAGTGTCATTCTACAAATTACTAAATTAGGTCTAAATTTTAGCAAAGTGACCATTTGTTTATTATGCTTATAAGCTGCTTTGCTTTTGGAAAATTGTAATAGTTGTCTGGATGTCAACCAACTGTTCAGTTTCAAGCAGCAGTACCCACCTATAAGAACATGTTTCCACAATATTTCTAGAGATTTTTGCAAGAACAAATTGAAAATTGCTAGTGTATTCTTACAGCCTTTATAAGATGATAATCACACTGTTTTACACTATCTCTCTATAGGAAGTGATTCTCAAGTGATTTAGGAGCCAGAAAGAGACTTTTTTTATTTCAAACTGCCACCGAATCATTGCGTTGAATTAAAAAAAAAAAAAAATTCTAAAGGCTTAAAATTTGCCCATATGTCAAATGTTATCTATTAACTCTTGTCCATGTTTTTCTAAGTCCTCCAAGAAAGATGATGCGCGAAAGGGCAGTCTTTGCAAAAGGCTTAAGCTGCAGATCAACATTTAGCTGCTCTGTGATGAGTCACTTTCCTGAAAGTGTATCTGCTGAAACAGAATACCACAGTATGAATCTTAAATTTTTATCTAAAGGTAGAACGTTTGGGTATAAATTACGTTAAGCTAAAACATGTTCCTATAAGTGGTTATAACTGTATTGTTCCATGTAAGCTTCCAGTTTTGCAGTGAGAATGTATCTCATGCCATCTCATGTCAAGGAAATTAGATTTAAAAGAAAAAAAAAAGAAAAAAAAAGTTGCTCATGGTAGGCAGAATACTGCAGTTATATTCTGAAATTAATTTTGTTTTAGTAATAATGTTACGTTGTTTGAAATGTTACAGTAAATTATAATTGTATAGAAATTGGAGAATTTTGTCCTTTATCATGAAGATTGAGGTGAGGCCTTTCAGTAACTGCTTATAGGACACTAAGACTTTACTTTTGAAAGTAATATTCAGTTGATTTGCACTTTTTGTTCCTTCCAGTCTAAAGCATTCAACTAATCAACAGACAAGAGAGTATTTGACTTTATTGGAAGTAATTTCATAATCGCCTTTTCTGAAGCCAAACATTGTTTCTGGCAGCTTTTCCAGACTGCTGCATTTTAATGCTTAAATGAAATGTGATTGTTTAATAAACATTGCCATGCACAACATTTACTTTTTTTTAATTGTATTAAAATTGAAATGGTAAAACCGAAAGTATTTGCTTATTCTCCTTAATTGAAATCTTAATGGTTATCTTAATTCACTAACGCATAATGGATCAAATTATATAGTGAGGCTTCATTTATTGAATATTGATAATCTCTAATACAGTCTTTATTTATTGTGGGGTATAACATGCTAAAATCTTTATTCTTTGTTTTTTTAGAACAGAAGAGCTGTAGTACTGGTGATGGGGAAAAATGATAGTGCTGAAATAAATGTTTTCATTTATCAAAAACACCTCAACTTATGAAAGGACTGATTTACTTCTCTTTTGTAAGTAAGACCCAAAGGATTTGTGCTCAGAACCTGAATGGAAAGATATCTATCTAAATGTGTTTTAATACATTTAGCATTTAGGGTATGACTGATGTTAACAGACTTGCTCCCCATCTTGCTTTTTATTATAGGAACTGTTATAAGCAGATAAGTGGTGATATACTCCAGCATCTTGTTTACGTAAATATCAAATACATCTGAAAAAGGGTGTAACAAGCCCTGATCAAGAACCTTCCCTAATTTAGAAATCCTAAAGAAGAATTTACGTGCCAGGAGATAATTGGTAGATTTTCCTGGTTGAAAGACTCTGTGGGTTTGAGGATACATTATCAGAGGCTGTCCGTTTCTCCTAGTCTATGTTAATTGATGTGTTCTAAAACCGATAGCACTCGGTCCTGGCATATTCTTTATGATTATGTGCTTCTCTAGCGCTTCTTGTCTCAAATTGGTGGAAAACTTCTTGGCCACACAGTGCTGACTGCTATTCCTTCTAGCTACCATATCACATAAAAGGTATCTCAAACAAATGCATCCCAGTTGAGCAACTAGTATTTTTGCAGGGGGCCTAAACACACAGATAAGGTGTGTTGACATAAATCTTGCTGGAAAAATGAGTATAACATTTTTTTCCTCCCAGATGAAGTACATGGTATGAAAATACAACTGACTTTACCTTTTACTTGTGTTTGGTTCCACTACAGAGTGTGTGTGTGTGTGTGTATGTATATATATATACACACACACCTTTATGTTCTTTTTTTAAGAACTTCTTTAAAAGAAAAAAAAATAACAAAAACAGAAAGCCCGAGAATTATTTTTAAATGCTACATCTGAGGTGAGCATGAATGAAGATTTAAGATCTGTATTTAATACTTGCTCCATTGATACTTGGAGAATACACATCCTTGAGTCCTGTGCAAACTAAATGGCTTATATTAATAGATTTTTTTAAATACATATTTAAGCTACGAAACATTATAAATGTCATTAAAATACATTGTCTTGTTTTCTAATTTTAACATAGAACCAAATTCTGACTAATAATGGAAAACAAAATGCTTTCTTTTTAGTCCTCCCTCTTACCTGGATATCTCAATGGCCCACCTTAAGAACAGTCATCTAAATTTTCTGAAAGTGCATGTATAGCAACAAAATACTTCTATTTTTTTAATATTTACAGAGTGTAAGGAAGTTGATTTAACTCTGGTGAGATCCCTAGTAATGAAGAGGAGGCAACGTGAGGTAGCCTAGGTCGTAATGCTCTTGTTTTCAAGAATAACTGAACCTCTGACTTCAGCATTGTAAAAGTGTCTGCTGAAGGCAGTGAAGCTGTTGATGTGCACTTTAACAGCAGCTATGGTTTAGTTTCTTTAAATGCATGTGAAACTGAACAGATGTCAGTGAGGCCTGCTTCTTGCGTGATCGAGAACCTTATTGGGAGATCTTTAATTTCTAATTACTAATTCCTATACATCTGGGAATTTGGTATTGGTATTTCTTCCTGGAAGGTCATGTCCAGTATTCCAGCTGATTTGGTCTAGTTTTCCTGAAGCAGAATATCTGGGGAGGCCAACCGTTGGCCAACCTGTAGGCATCCTAGTCTAGGCACCAACAGGGTCTAGCAGCAGTGCTAGGGCATTTAAACTGGCAGTAGAAGAATTCTTGCTTTGACTATGTGGTGCTATAGCTTTACGTTGTCAGAGTAACACTAAATGTAGCATGCTGTCTGAACTGGAGGGCAGAGAAAACTGATTCCTACAAGCATGTGGCTCCACTTGTTCTCTGTTGGGAACCTAAGCTATTGATGGTTGTCAGCTATTGACCTCTAACAAATGGCAAGTAGCAACTTTAACCATTTAATATCTTCATACACAGTTGTCTTCGGTTATGTGGAGAATATCTATAGTGGTTTGTTACTGAAATCTTACCAGTGTTGTAAGACTTTTGATGCTCTCATTTTAAATTTATTCAAATTAATGGATTTATTGCAGAATTTAAAACTTTCTAAACTAAAGGATCAGTGCTGTGAATTTATATATATATATTTGTAAACCCGAGACTACAGGTAGGAATTTAATAGTGATCTTGTACTAGCCGTGTGTGTTAAAGGCCACCTCTTTTAAATTGAGTGTTATTGGGAGCTGTATCTGTTTTAGTGAAGTTGAAAAGTATTGATATTGCCCCATTCTTTACAAATGGTGTTAATCCTTTGAAAAGTGATGGTCTTTCAAATAGAAATAAAGATAACACTAGCTTAATTATTGTGTGGCTTGTAGAATTGTTCATTTCTATCAGAAGAGATACGGGATGAGACCTCTTAAGGTGAAACATTCCATTTACTTCAGAGAGTACTAGACACCTCAGAATAAATATTTCACTTGGTGATCAAGGAGTATTTGCTTTTGGGATGTCTTTGACTTGGATATATTGGAGACCCTTTAACCTGAAGGGAGAATACCACCATAAGAGAATGATTTGCAGTGCTATCCTCAGGTTCCTTTCTGATGAAAAATAAATAGGATCGGCTACTTGACCAATTTTTTTTAAGCGATTTTCAATGTAACTTGAGCATTTTGCATCTGAATATTTTTGGTAATATTAGAAATATTTTTAATGCTACTGTCTTAAGCGCTCATTAGTGCCAGCTGATGTGCCAACTTCTTCTCCCACCTGCTTTTGTCTCTCAACTTTCAGCTTTCCTTGAAAGTTCTGGAGGCTTTGAGAAAACCTGTAGGAGGAAAGAGTAGTTTGTATAAATGTTTGGTCTTGAATCCACGTGTGTGATCTGGAGAAACGTATGTCCGTTTGAACCAGCTGAGTGGAGACCATGGCGTTACGAGCTGGGTGCACAGAGGCTTGTGGCCCAGCTGCCGTGGGTGGGGCAGAGCTGGGTGGGGCTCACCTGGCCCTGCCACCCGGAGGGGGCGGTCGTGGCTGGCTCGGACTGGGGACAGGGAGGGCCGCAGGCGTCCAGCAGCAAGCTGCGAGCAGGCAGGGCGGGAGAGAGGTCGCCCTCCCTGCCTGCGGCCATTTCGGTGTCGGCAGCGGGGGTCCCATCCCCCTGAGGCGGTTCCTGAGGCGCCTCCCTTGCCTCCGCCCGCAGCTGGAGTGGCCGCGGGCCTGCGGGGGGGTG